CTTGACTAAAATGATAGTTTGATTAGTTAATTCGAGAAATATATGAGTCCTTATTACACGCCTGCCACTGTTCTTAGGTTAGGAAAAACAATGGCTTGATGAAAACCCACTGGACTAAGAAACTTTTCTTTAAGCTCATTTGGAGCCACATAAAATAATTATGCAGGTGTTTTGAATGCAATTATTTAATTCACATAGGTGCCAGAGTTCTGTCTACTATTGACATCAAAGCATAATAGCTTCTTAAGTGAAAACTTCTTAAAGAGTGTGAGGTATTCTAAACCCCCAGAGAAGAATCTTTGACTAATGGAAGTAACACAATAATAATATTTATAATAATAATATAATCTAGCATGAATTACATACTACATACCACAAGGCACTGTTCCAGGGGTTTTACATGTAATTTCACAATACTATGTCTAAGTATTAATTCTGTCTCCAATTTATACTTTATAAAATCATCTCCTTTATGTTTCTTGAGCACTATAAAAATAGTCCATTCTTAAGGCTTTTGCACTGGCTTTATGTGCTGCCTGAAAATGTCCTTGTCACAGAGAACCACGTTTTCCTCTTTCTTCTCCATCTCAGCCTCTTAACTGACCTTAGAAAAATAACGATCCATCAGTCCTTCTGCTGCACATTAGACCCCCCTCATTTGGATTTGTCTCTTCATAATGCTAGTTGCCATTATATACCCTATATTTTTCTTCTGTTGACCCTATTAGAATCTAAGATCCAAGATGACAGGTATTTTTATCTGTGTGTTTGTTCTCCTTCTCAGTAAATGTCTAGTACATAAATTGTTACATACAATTAATTGGTAAGGACCAGAGGCTTGAAACCAGCTCTGACCTTAGGGTCCTTCTCTTCATTAAGAACTTCCCAATCAGTGGCTTATAATTATTCATATCCATGATTTGGATAAAAATCTGAACTCCTGTGTGCAAATTCACTGATTCTCTGTAGCTAAAAATAATGGTATTAACATTTTAAAAACTTCCCAACTGATCAGTAATATGAATAAAATGCCTCTCAAAAAGTTATGTCCGTTATCATTGACACTAAAGTAAGAAATACATTGGATTTTAGTATCCTTCACATAAAAATTGCACCAGTTAAATTTTATTTATTCTAAGAATCACATACATTAAATATCACAAACTCCATGACCATTCCTGATTTTGTGTGGAAAGCTAGTTGATATTACTTTTGCTTTCATTCAAAACTTTTCTCTCCCAATTGAATTAGTTTTAAGTCATTGTTTTATATATGTGTCCCTGATAGGCATGTGCTCATCTTAAATACAAATTATACTATAGGTTCTCAGTAAATATCCAGTGACCATATGTATGAATAGAATAGTGAATATAGAGTGCAAGACTCTTGAAAATATGCTTTGAACTACTTTCCCAGCATTATCACTATATATATTTTGACCTGGACTCCTTTGGTTGTATATGACAGATGCCAAATTTAAAGTGGCTTAATCAAAAAAAATTATAGATCATATAGATGAAAACTTCCAGAGATCTTTAAAATAGGCATAGAATAAGCACTTATAGATTCATGTTGTACAATAGTGTCTGCTATGAGGTTGGAGACAAATGATTGCAAGAATGACCTGGCTTACAAATGGCACTTAAAGCCACTAATCAAATGAGGTTATTTGGGTGGAACCTGAGGCACGCTAATATTGAGATGTGATGTGAGGGAGAGAAAGATCCAGCCAAAAGAGGCTGAGAAGAAATAGCCCAGGAGACAGAGAAGAGCAGACAATTGTTGGATTACTGAATGGGGAAAGGTCACTGTATAGAACTCAGCCTTTACTACCCATCACTCTCAGAGCTCACATGGCACAGGCTGTGACAGTAACCTGGTACACGGTTCCACAGAGTACATCAATACATAGCACTGGAACTTCCACTAAACAGAGGATGGAGAAATTACACTGTGTGACCCAGCAGGGGCTAACACTTGACCCTGAAGATAGGGTGAATCTCATATGATGCACATGAACTGAGGATAAGGAAAGAGAATCTCATTCTGTGCCTTTTTCTTTTAACTTGCAATATTAAAAATTACCCACATGTCAAAACCCACATGAACTTTTCTTTCTTCCATAAAACACTCCTCAGTTTTTTTTAGCCAAAATATTATCCCCTGCAACTGAAGTCTTAGAACAATAGATCAGCATGTCTCATGGAATTTAACATTTTCAACCACAAAATTAAATAGTACATTGAGTAAGTCTCTTCTTTTCTATCACCAGTAACCATTTAGAGGGTAAACACTTCTATGGTTCTACCAAATAACCTAATTGAATAAATATTTCATAAATTATCAGTCTCTGTTTCACATGTTCTCTTAAATTTTCTCTGTTAATGTTGATATTTTGGGAAAGAGAAAATGTTAGTAAATTCTGATATAAGCCTAATAGAATACTTAACCTGTAAATGTGTTTTCTTCTTGAAAGATGAAAATTTTGGTGCCATCACAAAATAAGTGCAATGATTTCCATGACATATTGTATAGGAGTTAAGAAGCCCGCACTAGCTTATATTATTTATTTGTCATCTAGATATGCTAATGCCATATGATGATGTACCTGGTGATCCCAAGTAGCATTAGCTTTTACAAATAACAATGCATGTCAACATGTTTGTATTTCTCTTCTAATTTTTTTAAGGTAGATGCATCATGGATGTGTTTATATATTTGGCATCTCTAATATAACTAGTATTATTTAGTTTCAGAACTTGGTAAGTTTTAATAAGAAAAAGTTCTATATGAGTATATTTTAATTTAATACTGTTTTATTTTAAAAATAATTATAGACAAATATTTGTAATCACACATGTAATCACTGAATTTTAGAAAGGACCTCATCAAAAGCAAATCTCAGTGGTTTATGAATTAGCAATAGAAGCGACTTTATAAGAATGTAATAAATCTAGGCATGTATATTGATTAACTGTCTGAGAGTTGTTATCCTTTCTATTTTCTCATGATTGCCTGCTTTTTTCTTCAAAGGCTCTGAATCAAAGATAATTAGTGAGCAGTTCATAATTTATTAATAACCGACAAATGGGGATCAGGGCAGAGAAGTGCCAGAAAGACTAGGAGCATTGCAACAACTAATTGCCCACTGTGGGAAGCAAATCTTCCTAGGAAACTGAACCCAAGAGAGCTACTGGCTCAATTGCTCAACATTATTGAATATCCCACCTGTGACTTTGCACAGGTCAGACATGTAAACATCACTGCAACACTCAGGAAGTTATACTGAGACAAATATTTGGAAGAAAAAAAACCTCCATGGTACTGGAAACAAGTTAATGTCATTGATTTGCAAAGCTGAAAATTATTTGAGCAGAGAATCTAGAGACTCTCAGATTTCAAGTGTTAATCACAACACAGGTCAAAAGACTAATCACAAGAGCAAAATACACTTTTTGTCTGAAGCCTCATTTCTTTAAGAATGTGATCCCAACCTGAAAGGTAGACCAGCAGGCTAACATGCCAAAAGATGCTGGGCTCTGATGGAAGACTCTGTCAGGTTTCTGGGAATCATACCACGTGTCTCAGAGACCACAATAGCACAGGCTCTCATGGGAACTTGATACCCAGCCCTACAGAGAAAATCAATAACACTGCCCTATGCCAAAAGGTAAAATTCCATTGAGCAAGAAATAGGCTAGTTTCCTGAGCCATATCTAGGGGTATACTCATTGCTGAGAAGTGAAGCAAATGAACAATAAAATATTCCAAATGATTTTAAACACCAGCTAAAAGCCACACTTGCTCAAGATGGGCTCTGTTTTAAAATTTGCATGAACCTGAAAAGAAATAAATGCTTTTAATGGATTAGAAACTCAGTTTCAACCCAGTATCTTTCTGCCGAAATTCCCAGGCTTCTAAATCTTCATCCAATAAATTGAAATGCAAAGGCATTTTGTATATCTCAAATATATGGTTGGAGACTGTGCATTTTGCCTTATTCCAATCAGTTCCCATGGCCAGGGTGACTGGATGCTGTTTCTGTATGTCCAACCCTTTGAAATCCCACCACTCTAAGGACACTCTTAAATAACTCAGCTTGGAAGTTGACCAGGGATCCATCTCAGTATATCATGTCCTGAAGTGAAAAATCCCTATCAGCATTCCTTCTGTCTACCCACTCATTGCATTATATCTCTTAAACCTCAAATATGCAAAATGCTAGATTGTTTTAGCTATGTTCCATCATATCTTTGGAGGTTGGATCAATGGCTATTTCCTTAGATGTACTTCCTAGTTTGTTTGTTTGTTTGTTTGTTTTTTTTTACTTTTCTAAAAGGAAAGGCAAACATCTTACAGACTGCCTTTCCTACACATTTCAGTCTATTTTTACATTGCATGTTGCATAATTGGCATGATTAGAGTGATCGTGCTAATTTCTGATTGGCTGCTCTTTTATTTATGTATACATTTCTTAAATTTTTAAAAGATTTTATTTATGTAGTTTTAGAGAGAGGGGAAGGGACTGAGAAAGAGAGGGAGCGAAACATCAATGTGTAGTTGCCTCTCATGTACCCTCCACCTGGGACTTGACCTGTAACTCAGGCATGTGCCCTGACTGGGAATTGAACTGGCAACCCTTTGGGTCACAGGCTGGCACTCAATCCACTGAGCCACACTAGCCAGTGTGCATTTCTTAATTTTTGATTTAATATTATATAGGACATATAAAACAATGTAAAAAGAAAAATCATATTTATTATCTAGAAGTAATCACCATTTTACTTTACCATATGTTTAAGATATTTTATATACATAATTGAATTTATACTTTCTATTATTTTGTTTTGTTTCTTGACAACACTATAATATAACATTCCCTAGGTAGTTGGAAATGTTTTAAAAGCAAACATCTAATACCTCTTTGTTATTCTAATGTTTAACCTTTCCTATATGTTTTCCTTTTTTTCTTTGTTTCTTTTATTTTTATTATTTTGGAGGAGAGGGATTTCTATCTTCAATGTCCTTAGAACACATTTGTATAAGTCAAGGTAAGGATAAATGGATATTAATATTTTAGAGACTGTTGATACTTATTGACAAATGACTCTCCTAAAGCACTTTACCTATTACCATTCCCTACACAGTGCATGAAGTTGACTGGTGGTTCCCAAATTGGTCAGTTACTGTTAATTTAATAGGGGAAAATAGATCGATATATTAAATTGCAGTTTTTTATTTTGGAAATTTAATAGTTTTCTTACTAGGTATGCAATAAGTAAAGTTATTGGCTATTTTTATTCCCTGTTTAACATTGACATGTGCATGCTCTTTACCCATTTAAGTTACTGGGATCTTAACTTTTCATGTAGAAAGATGTATCATGAAAATTGCCAAGATTTGTTTGTTTTTTAATAAGATTTATTTTGCATGGGACATGAAAAATGTTGATTGTATGCAGTTGGGTCTGTAAACTGATATTCTTGTACAAACTTAGATATAAGTGCCAGCACTCTTTACTGCCCTTTCATGTAATTGTTGGAGCTCTCTGCCTTTAGCACACTAAATGGTATCTGTAGAGACATTCTTTTATCTCTACTGCCTATGGGCTCTCAAATGTATTATTCTAATCTAATTTGTATTAAGATCATGTCCACTTAAATTTTATAATTAAAAAATATTTTAATGTTTAGTCAGGTGAATTCTTACCAGGAAATCACTTACAGTCACGATTACAAACATTTTATATAAGTACTTTTGTACTTACAAGTACAGTTATACACCATTGCTTTATATAAACCAATTGTAGTCATTATTAACTACTGTTAATGTTATACACAATGACATTGTTGTGCCAGAACAAAATGGTGGTTGATTACAAAGAATATATGTGATCTTTCTTTATTGAACTGGTAAAGGTTATCTCTTCTGAGAAAAAAATAAAAAGCATGCAAATGAGAAATAGCAAATGCTACTTATTAACAGCTTGCTATAGCAAGGGATTGGCCTCTATAACTTGCATTTGGCAGAGAACCAAAGGCAAGCAGTGGAGTGTGAAAGCTCTTTAATGGGGAAAAATTGAGAAGGCTTCAGATATTCCCTGATGGGAGATTATTGGCATTGGTGGCAGGCCAAGTAGAGTGGGACATACTATGCTATTCGTTCAGGAAGCATATTTAGCTTCCTCTAATTGGTCCCAAGTTGGAAGTGGGGACAAAAATCAAGGAAGCTTGCATTTATTTATAAAGTCCTAACCATTCAGGTTGGTTGGTGCAGAAGTTGTAGTTTGGCTGCCTGTGTTGGTGATTGCAGATTATGGGTCAACGTTCATTATTTTTAATTTGGTTTGACCATTGTCTGTTTGTATATTCAGTTTCTCATTTCATACATTTCACTAAATAGTAGTACAAGTCTTTATAAATGTAATGTTCAATATATTTTTTAAAAAATTAGAAAGAGGTAAAAACACTTTAAGGAGTACAGCTGTAAATATACAGTGAATTCTTTTCATTAAGCACTCAGGGGAATAACTATTTTATATCAGGGTCACTTGGAATATTTTTGATTTATGAAACTATGTAATATTGATGTTAGAGAATAGAATCTCTATTTCCTAAAATAGAATCTATGTCATTTAACATAGATTTTGGTGTATCAAATAATTTAACAAAGTATAATGTCATTGCAATGCCAGAATAAGAAAGGTAAAGATAAGAAAATAATAATAGAAGAGAAAGTGAGATTTAGATTTAAGTGAAAAAAATTTTTTCTGCAGTTTTAGTGTTTTCTTCATTGTTTGAGGTCAGATATTTGCTTGAAGTTTGTAGCTTTCTCTACGTATATATTGCCTGCTTTGTCTTATTTCCTATTTGCTACTTGAAAAAAAGTTCAATTTTTAAAGGCCTAAAAAATGTATCTGTACTTGATAAGAAAATGTAGACTAAATATATTAAAAAGGAATTAGTGTTTTATCGACCATATCTAAATTACAGTTTACTTTTATTTATATATTATATATAACATGCATGCATATATACATGCATTGGTATATATGTAAACACATTAATGTATATAACACATAAGTACATATAATTTATGTGTTATATAATAGTGACATTTAGTTATTTAATTTTTAATAATAAAAATTAAATAATGTATATGAGAGTGAAACCATCTAATTTTCCTGCTCAAAATATCACAGTGGAGCTGTCATTTGCAAAAGTAGCTGTGGATCGTGTAACCACTCTTTTGTTACAGGCTCACTAATATAAGTTTTTCTGACCTTGGTGACCTATAGAATTTACTTTTATGGTGAAATTTTACTCTTTGGTATGCTTCCTGATCGTTTATTGTGGACAGTCTGATAGTGAGACAGTCATGCCATCAGACAATTTTAATATAACACAATTAGTGTTGTATTTTTAACAAATTGGTACAAGGATAAATAGTCAATACAGAAATGTTGTAGCAGAAATGGTAAATCAAAACTGGACCTGGAGGATGAAGATTAATTTTACAAGTTAGTGGACAGTGTGTGATGAGGAGGGCAGGTAGAGGTGAGAGCTCATGCATATGTGATGTGCTGTGACTCGGTCAGACCTGTCCACAGGGCCTTCCACAGCCTCTTCCTGTGACCCTGCTCAGGCATCCCATTCCTTCCTGCTTCGTAAATAGCTTGAGCTTTGTCATGTATATACAACTAAATATATATATATATGGTTCTGGTTTATTCTAACTTATTAGCAGTTTAAAGATAAAAGCTTTGTCTGTCAAAATATTCATGACTTCTTGAAGGCTCTCCTGACACATGGGCAGCAAAACTAAGCTTTGCATTCATATAACCTTCTATAATAAGTCTGTGGTTCAATGCCTACGGGAGGCAGAGTGGTGACACAGAGCAAAGATGATTTTACAATTTTGTTATTTTATTGGGGATGTTATGATTCCCAGATAATCCAAGTAGCTAATACTGAAACATAGAGAACAAAAATTCTGCCATTAAACTTGCAATTAAAAGAAACTGGTAGAGATAAATTTTAGAAAAAAAAATCATGTGGTTTAAAAATATAGAGGCTAGGATGAAATTTATAAGTTATGGATACTTAACAGACCAGTCTTCATTTGTAGATAATATAAATTAATATTGTAAACAAATTATAGGAGAATTATTTAAACTACTTATCAGAGAACAAATTGTTTTATGCATCTACAGGAACTTTTGACATTTTTGTTCATGTGCACACTATTAATGCTAATTACAAATCTTTTTTCTTTTATTCATTAAGTAAATTCCCCTAAGAGTATTGTAAGACAAATCATTATTAACTCCAAGTATTTATTGAATATTCATTGTACTAGTGGTTCTCAACCTGGTGGAATTTTAGGATCAACTAACAGCTTTTATAAAATACTGATGCTTGGGTCCCACAACCAAAATGTTCCGACTTTTGGGTTCTGAGGTGAGACCTGGGCCTTGGTTTTTCTTTGCGTGTGTTTTGTTTGTTTATCTGTTTATTTGTTATTTGTTGTTTCAATCTCTCTGGTTGACTGTAATCTGTATATGGGTTTAGAATCATTGCATAATGTGAGTAGAAAGCTGTTTTAATATAAATCTTTGTTCTTAAAGCATAGCATATAGCACCTCAGTACATGTTTGCTAATAATGAGAATGGTTATGTTTTCAACTGCAGCACAAAGTTTGCAAAAAGTGGTTTGTACTTTGGAGGAATTTATTTTGATTTCCAAAATATATACTAGAGTAAGCAAACTGAATCATGTTCAATAATATTTGCTAGTTGTATCAATGTTTTTACCTGTGGGTTTCATGGAAGGAGAGCCTGCTTTGTAATGATCCCTAGCCTGTTAAAAGGATTAAAAGAAGTACAATAAATCATCATTATAGTTTGGAATATAAACCAGTTGAAGTAGAGTCAAAAGACAGCTCACCTCAGGTTCTCTTTCTGCTTTCATTCAGTTGGCTATTCCTAAGCCCTCATAGCTGTCTTCAGAGAAAGAGAGTTCCTGATCTCAAAGCTAAAGTGAATTTGCTTTTTGCTTGTTTTTGTGATATTGAGCTTAAGACAAAGGAATATTTGCATATGGGTAACTTAGATTCATAGTTTATTTTTTAAATTTTGGAACTTGAAATATGTGTATTAGTTTATCTCAGTCAGTTATCTTATTTGATCACTAATTTACACATGCTTCTGAACCGCAACAATGTTTAGATCATTGAGTATTTTTATGACATTTATCTTTTAACACTTTCAAACAATAACTCGTATATTTTGTTACCATAATGGCTAGACTTACATAGAGGCATTTTAAAATGTGTATGAAATTTATTGTGAATTAAATTGTCAAAGTCTTTTATTAAACCTGGTAATATACTGTTACCAAAGGATGAAAGAAATGTCCATACTAGAGTTTCCCACAAAAATGTCTTAAATTTTCAGCAGGGGAAGGGAGAGATGAGGCCAAGGAACTAAGTGGGAATAAAAGGAGCTAGAATAGTTGGAAGAAGAAATTGTGCTTCCAGCGCAGTGTGATGCAGTTACCGCTGCTCACATTTTACCTCCTTAAGTTATCATCAGTGTCATCTTGGGAAAGCCTTTTCCTTTCAGTGAGTCTCAACATTCTTAGCTCTATGATGAATATTATAACAGGGCATGTCAGTGTTAAAACAGGAAACAAGGAAAGAGCAGTGTGTTCTTACTTTACTGCCACACTATTGCCAAATTTACAATACTTCTGATACCTTATATGTGTTAGGGGAGACTTGCTTTTTTTTAGTTTATTTTTCATTTTTTTCACTGTGTTTCCACCAAAACACAGAAGTAGAAGTATTCCACTGAATACTTCTTTGGTGCATAAGCTTAGTGTCCCACAATTCAATTCACTTCTGACACTAAACAGAGTGAACATCACATGTTAAGGGCTCAACCCCAGAGGACTGTCCTCCTAATTCAGATACCAGTTGCAAGTAGTAGATCCCTAAGTTACATACTACTTCTGTCCCACTTGGCTACTGTTAACCTAGGAATAGCAAGAT